GCTGAAAATTGTTACACCTACCTACCAACGCCATTCACGTGTTTTGTACCGGTTTTTAACGACTGAAATACGACCATTTAACCTAAAATACTTCAGTGACTAAACAGTCGCAATTTAGCGACTGATGAACGACTGATATTTACCGACTTCGTACTAGTCGCAAGTCAGTCGCTAATATATGACTACATTGCGACTATTTGCTGGAGTCGGTATGTGCCGACTGTTTTCTAACTGTTTTATGATGGTCGCACGGAAGTCACTGACCAGTCGGGAATCAGTCGGTTAACTTAGCGACTGCATATACAGTCGGTAAAATCAGTCAGTAAAAACGTGTTTTCTTGTAGTGAGGTTCGGTTATTTCGGATCGGTTTCGGATATTTTAGATTTTCAAAAAAAAAAATCAAAGTCTTCATTACTCAATTTTTTTTTTACAAAACTGGCTTTTTAAATTTTTAATAGGTTAAATGATTAATAAGTTTGGAAACAAAATTCTAAAAACTGAAAAATACTAATTTAATTTAATTATTTTTTTGAGAATTTGAATGCAACTTTTGTTAATATATGAAATAAAAAAGTTTGATATGCATTTTAATTGAATAAAAATTACTTTGTCCACAGTAATATGTATATTATATGATTTTGAACCATGTGCAACATCAATATAAATATTTTAGGTATAATAAGAGAAGTAAACTAGAAATATAAGGCTAAATATACATATCTTTGGTTATCTTCGGATATCCATTCGGGTTTGGATATTACTCGTTTGGGCTTGGATATCCAATCTCCCTTAATTCAATACCTGTTCGGGTCGGATATCCAATCTCCCTTATTTCAATACCCGTTCGGATATTTTATTACTTTGGTTCGGTTTCGGTTCGAATTTTTTTTATCGGGTTCGGATTTGGGTATCGGGTAAAATTTCCAGCCCTATAAACAAGTTAGATAATGAACTAGAGCTTGACCCCCGCTCGTCCAAACAGATATACATTTTTACTATTTTATATTTTATTTATACATTATATAAATTAACCATTTATATTTTATAATTTAAATGAATATGGCTTCATATTTATATTTTGATCATGGTTATTGATCTATTTGTAAGAGCATAAGTATAGAAAATTATTATTTTGATCATGATTTTTTATCCGTATATTTTTATCACGTTTCTTATCCGTATATTTTATTTAAATAGAACATAAAAATGTAAGATTATAAATACATTAGATACGGCTCCGTGCGTTGCATAAATTTTATTTGATGCTTTAATATTTATAAAATATATAAAAATAATAATTCATGTGATAGTTTGAGGATTTTTTTTGTATATGTTGTGTGAGATTTATTTTACAAATTAAGAATTTGTCTTCCCATAAAGTTATGGTTCGTATTTGTATTTAATCAACACAGATTTTATTTGATGTTTTAATTTTACAAAGAACATAAAATAATAAATTGTTTTACATTTTAGGGTAATTTTGTATACTATGTTGTGTGAGATATTTCAGAATTTAAAATTTGTTTGCCGATATAAATTGTTATTAATATTTGTATTTTAATAATAATGGCACATAAGTGAATTGTTTTTAACTTTATATATAAGGTCAGAGAAAATATTCATAATTAAAAGTTTAAGACAAGTCTAATTCAAATTAAGAATTAGAGTGAGATAAAAGAAAAATTGAAAGTTATAAGGTCAATCAAGTTAATGACAATATTATATACATATCATACACTTGTTATGTACCAATTCAATGTTTGTTTTATTTGACATTAAATATGTTATTCTTATTGTTTAAATATATTCTGATGTTTATTAGTCATTTTAGTGAAATTATTATTGTCACTGTAAATTTTTTTAACTTTTTATGCATTTGTAATCATCAATATATTTTGGTTACGTGATTTTTAATTATTAATTATTAAACCATATAAATAACTTTGATCATCACGTTTATCATGTAATTAGTGACAATAAAACCATCAATACATATGTATCTTATAATAAAACATAATTTTTTAACTATAGTTTTTATGAAAAAAAATATAATTTTGTGATGATAAATCCTAAAATAAATAAATAAATTATGTTATTATATATTGTAATAAGGTTAAAGAAGACGATCTTAGAAGTAATTAAGAAGTTCTTCTAATTTCATTTTAACTATATGACATTTAATATCATATATATCATTTGGAGTTTGTATATAACTTTATAATTTAATTTCATCCCTTAAATATTAAACCCTAAACCCTAAATCATAAATTCAGATGTTATACGTTTTTTTTGTTTTTTTTTTTAGTATTAAAAATGGTATTTAAGTTATAGTATTTCAAAGGTTTTTAGTAATAAAACCCCTCAACTAAAGATGGATCGTAAAAAAAACCCTCAACTAAAGATTTAGTGAAATAAACCTTCAACCTTAGCTCCGTTAATGTTTGTCACCCTCCGTCACAGAATTTTAGACGGAGGATAACATACGTTAACAGAACTAAAGTTGAGGGTTTATTTCACTAAATCTTTAGTTGAGGGTTTTTGTTACGAATTCATCTTTAATTGAGGGATTTTATTACTAAATGCGGTTAAATATTTTAAAATATTTATTCTCATTTATTTAGTATTTAAGAATCTTACAATTGATTTATAAACATTGAAAATATATAATTTTTTATATATTACTTTATCAAATGTTTAATCTATTTATAAAGCTTAGTAAATATTTTAATATTTTTATAAACTATTAAAAAGGTTTTAATGATGATTTTAAAAGCTTTTGTCTGCTATTTCAAGGTTTATAAATCAATTTAAGATTCTTAAATAATGAATAAATGATAATAAAGATTTTAAAATATTTAACCAAATTTAGTAATAAAACCCCTCAACTAAAGATGGATCGTAAAAAACCATTCAACTAAAGATTTAGGGAAATAAACCCTCAATTTTAGTTATGTTAAGTATGTCACCCTCCGTCTAAAATTCTGTGACGGAGGGTGACAAACATTAACAAAACTAAAGTTGAGGGTTTATTTCACTAAATCTTTAGTTGAATGGTTTTTTTGCGATCCATCTTTAGTTGAGGGGTTTTATTACTAAAAACCCTATTTCAAACAACTTCTTTTTGTTTTTTTTCAGTTTTTGAATTTATAACTTTTTACGTATACATAATTTATAGTTATTTTCGAATTAATTGTTTCTCATTTCTAACTAATAATAAAACCGTTTTATTAAACCCGAATAAAAACGTTCTGGCATTGGGCCATAGAGTGGCCTATGTTGTTGTATTCCCCTTTTAATGCATTGGTTTGTGTCTGCAGTTGTTATATTAAACTAGCCCACGATGATAAATTGGTCTATCTAAAATAACACGGCCCGATGATAACCGTTCAAGCAGGTTCTCATGAAGAGTAAAATTCATCAAACAGAACCGGAAACAACATAGAACGAGGAACAAGATTCGTGGGTTATCAAAATCCATGTATATGCAAACAAAACACTACCTTATTAAAGATTGTAACGCAAGCAAACAAGCAAGCAAAGCCTCTGCAAGTAAAGGAAATAGAAACAAAGATCTTTGTTCACCTTCTAGTGAGAGCATCTTGTCATTGAGTGTGTGAAAAGGACCCTTCGTGATGATAGAATAGTAAGATTCTTTCACACTGAAAGAAACCCATTCTAGTAGCTACGTGATAAATACTAATCTAGTGTTTACTGTTTTACTTTTCTCACCAACGTCAAGAACAGAGACAACTAATATTTTGGTTAGCTCAAGAGTCAAGACATGAATATAGATAGGTTTTACCCTGCAGTTCTCGTGAATGTAGCTTGATGCGTATCCTTTTTTATGCAAACACAAATAAAAGTTCTTTTCAGAACAATTTGGTCAACTGCCATCAGAACTAGCAAAGCTAAATACATGTGAAACAAATGCAAATCTTATTCAGCTAAAAACATGAAACAATAATTCATTAGAGTCGCATATCAACCAAAGAGATATAACTCAAGAAAGCAAATATTCAAAAAAAAAAAAAAAAAACGAAACTACCAGCACTAGTGTATGAATCTTCATTCTTCCATCACCGTTCAAGCCACATGTTCTCATCAGCAGTCACTTCAATCAAACAGTAACAGAAAGAACATCCGCATCGAACAAGCTACACGGCTCGTGAGTTGTGAGCACAACATCAAACCACTCGACATTCCCCCACATCTCATCTCCACGCCTCTCAAGCACAATCTCAGCACACCAAATAGATCTCACTTCCCTACCTTCTTCACAACGCCCAGAAACGTCCCACAATACATACATCTTTCCACCAACATCCACCATTTGAATAGCCCCGTCAAAATCAGGCAAATCTTCAACACCTCTCAACTTCTTCCATGAACTTGACTTAAAGTCAAACCATCTAAACTCTCTTTCATTCCAAAGAAACAAGACCTCTCCTATCACGCAGTGATAATATGACACTGCAGAAGCCACACCATTCATATCCATTTCCAAATCCATACCCTCAGCCATATCCATACCCATATCCATAGCCACATTATGCATATCCATACCCAATCCTATCGGGTTCCAACTAGCTTCCTTGGGATCGTAAACCACACGCTTATCGCCAAAGAGGTACAATTTTCCTCCAATCGCAAAGCTCTCGAGTTCAGCTCCTGATGGGCGTATCTCCGTCCCAGGATTCGTCACATTTCCCCACGTTTGATTCTTCGGATCAAATACCTCCACCCAATTCTCGGGATCTTCACAGCCTCCTGCTACGTATATCTTCCCATCAACTACGCTCGCCGCGGGGGAGCTCCTCTTCACTCGCATCACTGGAGCACTTTGCCACGTGTTGAACCGACAATCAAGTACCGAGACTTCAGAAGAAGAGGGCGTGTACCCGCCCATCTTGTAGATGTTAGACCCAACGGCCACGATGCTAACATCCGTTGACGTTCGAGCCGTAGATCGCTCATGACGCAGATGGGGAGATGTGATTGGGATGAAAACACGGCCACCTGACCGTTCGGTTAGGGTTCGGTTTGGTCTCATGCAGAGAGCGAACCAGTGTGTGGTAGGGTCACGAGAGGGATCTAGATAGTAGCGTAAGCACATATAAAGGCAACTCTCGTTGTTGCGGTTTAAGAGAGAACGTGCCTTTACAAGCTCCGGTGAGGCAATGACGGATCTCATCTTTTTGGAGACGAGGGAGAGAGTTGGATAGTACATTCTAGAGACACGCCCTATGATATTCAATATCAAATCGTAAGGAAGCGAAAAAATCGAGATCCCCGAAGAGTGTTTCGTCATCTGCTTCTTACTCGGTGGTTGGTCGCCGTTCATGGCGGCGGAGGATCTGGCTGTTGACGACATTTTGAGGGTTAAATGTGCTGAAATGAATTAGGGCGGAGAAGACAGTTAATATACTGCGTAATTGCGTATCTTACACGCTTAATATTGGGCGTGAGGAAACTCAATACCAACGTTTTGGGCTTAAGAGCAATGTCAGCGATGGGCTTTTAATTTTATGAACTAGAAGCCTCTGCAATATTTTTGTTTTGCTCCCGATTAGATCTCTCTCATCCATTCAAGTTCATAATACTAACTGAATTCATAAAGATAAGAAGACTATTTACCTGACATATACCAAATCTATACTAACTTTCATTTTCAATAATAACTAGGATAAGACATGTGCCTTGCGCAGGATGAATATACGTAATTAAAATATAAAATTTTAATATTAATAAATTTAAAATTTACATATAATTGTTTTTATATGTATTTGAAATTTTAGAATTTTGGAATTTTTAAATAATTATCTATACGTAAGATCATAAACATTTGTAATTAGAACTATAGATCAAATCTTAGAATTTAATGGACCCGATTTCATATATCTTTTCACTTTTTAGTGTTCGAGTGATGGAAAATAAACAGAGTGTCATTGGCTTAATTGGTAGAGTATTAGCAAATTTCCTAATATTTTTTTAAGAAGCAGTTGGTAAAATAATTGCATTTAAAATATATAAAGTTTCAAAACTAATTTAATATAATTTATTTATTTGTATAATAATATAAGAAAACTATATTTTTTACAAATTATTATTTTTAAAATAATTTTATAAAAAAACAAGTTAAATTTTAAATTATTTTGAAAAACAATATTTTAAGTTTTTCAAATACAAATAAAGAATTTAAAATTAATTATGGTCATGATTTAACATAACCATAATGATTTAAAAATTAACAAATTAAAAATTAAGTCAGTTTTATATCATGATTTAAAAATTTAAAAATTAATTATGGTTATGAGAAGTTTACGTTCGTGTTAATCCTATTTATCTTCAGTTTTTTTCTCTTGTTGTGTTTTTTTATATTTTGGTTATTACTCGATATAAATATTGATTTTGAAGTTTATTCTCATTTCGTTTATTTGTTTTGACCTGGGATTTATAAAATACTTAAGATTTAAAATAATTAAAAAGATACATACTTAGGTTAAGATCTGCACTTTATGCACAATAAATATTTTATATTTATAACTTATTTTATAATATTCTGCATATCATAAAATAATAAAATAATAAATATATATGTAACATAACTAAGAAATCAATCACTATTATGTAATAAATTGACGTATGCATATAAATTTAACTATCACTCTTGTTTATTCGCAATTAGCGTAAATAAATCAAAATAATCAATCTTATATATTGTATATGATATATAATTAAATTTAAATGATATAAACTTAGTAATATGGCACACTTTTAATATTGATATTTATTAAATGAGGTTTCTACTCATATGATTTTAAGATTATGTGCATATTTGTGTAACAAAACTTTACACCAACGAATTTTTTTAATGTGAGATGTTTAGTAATTTCAATAATTTATAATCATTTTTTTTAAAAAATGACATATTTTAAAATTAAAATATTAACTTTTCAATATATGTTGAAGAAAAATATCAAAATATAAGTATGTATTTTCATACGATTTATAGTTTAATTAAAACGATAGGAAATATATATATAAACTAAAATTATTTCTTCATATGGTCTTATAATCATTATATTTTAATATAGAAAAAATTAAAACCTTGATCTTAAAAGTTTATGTGAGATTTTTAACAGTTTTAGTAATTTATACTCATTTTGAAAAATTCGAAATACAACATACAGAAAAAAAAAATCTAGATTTTTATTATATGATAAATGTAATTGTGTAATTTATTTTAATAATAAATAAATAAACAAAATGAGAAAAAAATATACAGATTGTTATCAAATCTTTATTGTTTAAAATCATTAATTGTCATATATATTTTAATCACATTAGGTAATTCCATAGGTTTTATTTAAGGAAAGCATGCAAAACAATAAATATTTGATATATGCGACCAACTATAGTCTACAAAATATTATATTGCTAGAGAATATAATTTTTAGACTATACATTATATCACATGCTCTAGAATTCTTGGGATTTGAAATAGAAGCCAAAGAGCTATGCCACATAGGATTGGAGTTATTTTTAATTCTTACAAACTTAAGGTTACAACTTTTTAAATGATTCCCAAATAATATATAGGGGATATTTACCATTTCCCGGCAACGTCTCATCAGTTTACGCAGGGTGTTCTTGTTTTCATCAGAGCTTGTGCCTAGTTTTGACTGTTGTACAGTATATATATAATAACTGAATAATACTGTTTGTTTGATTAATTTGTCATCTTTTCCTCTCTTTTTTCATAGTGAACATTCTATTAAGAAAAAAAAAACAATGTTTCATAGGATACTTAGAATGTTTCAGTGACGACCAAACTACAATCCTTTGGTCCGCTCAAGACATGAATATAGATAGGTTTACCTTAAACAGCAAACTTCCTTTGTAATGCAGCTTGACCACTCGTTTTTCATCAATGAGAAAGCCTAAAAGCTAGTACTATAGACAAACAAAACACTACCTATGCACCTTGTGTTACTTATTCTCGTGGAAGTAATTAGAAAATTATCCTTTGTTGCCAAGCAACATAAATAACATTTTGGCCAATTCGCCATAACAAAATAACCTAATCATCAGCAACTAAATGTGAAACAACTGCAATTCGTACTCAACTAAAAACATGAAACAATCATTCATTAGAGTTATCAACCAAAGGGAGATACCTCAAGACATAAAAATTCAAAAAAACAAAACGAAAATACCCACACTAGTTTCCATCACCGTTGCAAGCATGTTCTCGTCAGCAGCTATTTCATCAAACAGTAACAGAAAGAACATCCGCATCCAAAAAGTTACATGGTTCTATGGTTGTGAGCACGACATCAGACCACTCGGCATTCCCCCACATCTCATCTCCATCACGCCTCTCGAGCCCAATCTCTGCACACCAAATAATTTTTTCTTCAACATTGTCAACACGAGCCCCATAACTCTGCCACAAGACAGCCATCTTTCCGCCAAGATCCACCATTTTACAATACCCACCAAAATCAGGTAAATCTCCAACACCATTCAAACTCTTCCATGATCTTGCCTTGAAGTCATACCATCTAAATCCGCGTGGAGGTTCGTTTACTAGAGCCTCTCCTTGGACCATATTTGGTACATCTCCCTTCTGTTTTGCAAAGGGACAAAGTTATAGGAATATAGGACCCCAGGCACTCCCAGTGGGATACCCTGAAGTTCTCCTAGCTCCTGAACGACAATCAACATACGCCACGACGACAGAGTCAACTGCGAAGGGAAAAAGCCAAAATAAGACGACACCTCCGCTACCAAGGAAGGAACATTGCTCTTAAACCCGGCTTCCAAATAAGCCTCGTAGACGGCCATCTCGCGGAACTTAGACAACCAAACATTCTAAGAATCCGACTTACTAGTCTAGCCACCTAAGTCCTAAATTCGTCTAAGCTAACAGCAGTTTTTCTAGGTCTAAAAAGCTCTGCCTCCTCTTGACTTCGACCTTATGCTTATATACTCCTTCTCTAGGCGGTTGGCCTTTCCTTTCCCGCCCTGATTTGCGTTTATCGGAAATCTTCCATTTATCTCGATCTTTCCATTTTTCTTCGGAAAACTTCTATTTTGTCTTCAAACTTGACATTTACCCAAACCTGTGGATAATGAGTAAACCGTCATCATACCTTTGGGCTGGATCTTGTCTAACGTCGTGAGTGGACCTTTATCGAGTTTTAGGATTTTCCGAGCCGTTTTGCGATTTAGCCGTTTTATGATTTTAGACAAGATCGTTCCATGATACGATGCCGTTTTTATAAAATAACTTGAGTCAATCGTATAGTTGGGCAATGTCCGGTGTTTTGTTTAACCGTTTCCGTTTTAAACGATTTACTCGAGGTTTTACGAGAAAACAAGTCTTTAGCGGTTTTTTATAAAATATCTCGAGTTAATCGTATAGTTTGGCAATGTCCGGTGTTTCGTTTAGCCGTTGCTGTTTTATACGATTTACTCAAGGTTTTATGAGAAAACAAGTCTTTTGTGGTTTTTATCGTAAAACTCCAAAGGTAATACGGATCGAGACAAAATGAGAAATGTTTCGATCACGGTTCAAAGTATGATCGAGTCGAGGGGCTTGGACAGTTTGGTTCAGCTCGACAAGACGACGAACTGGTCAAGCACGGCCAGTTCGCCGGCTGGAGAGCTGGACGGGACAGTTCAGCTCGCCAATAGGCGAACTGGTCAAGCACGGCCAGCTCGCTTGTTGGCGAGCTGAACGGGTCAGCTCAGCTCGCCAACAAGCGAGCTGGTCAAGCACGGCCTGCTCGACCATTACTATTGCGATGCGGTGTATGATCTCTTAAACGATATTCACATGATATATGTGAATCAGTTCCATAACAGTTGGAAATCAGCCGTGCCAGTTTGATGGCCTACTGATAAAATATATATTGTATAACACCACCAGAGAGGACTATCCGAACATTGGAAGACATGCACCCAACATTTTTTCTTAACTGATTTTGTTATAACTAAAAATAAAAGTTAAATAATTCTTCGGCCTTCCCCTCATCTATTTGATTATTTACATTAACCAATAAAATATATTCCGAATATGCTGAAAAAGAATAAACTTAACTTTTATCTATACTATTAAAGCAGGATCCTATTGTTAAAATTGTGGATTCTACCCCTAGATTTTTATCATATTTATAAGATAATACCACTATTTATTTTTAGAATCTTAATTAACTAAGAAATTTAATATCTCCTATATTTATGGTAACTGATAATATTTCCTATTTTTGTGATTAATAATAATTTTCCTTTTATGAAAATTATGATTTTCTATTTAATTTTAATATCATATTTCCGTGCATCATATTATTTAGCGGTTAAAAATTATAATTTATTATTTACTGTGTCATTTTATCCATAATAATCATATGTTAATTCAATTTTTTTTAAAACTAATTTTTAGATATAAAATGAGTAAAAATGTAAACTTATCATAGGTTATTAATAACGAAAAGAAACTAATATTGTCATATGAATAAATTGTGTTTTTTTTTCTATTACCATTGTCTCATTTTTTGCAAATGACAAGAAAATTTTTATTAAAGAAATTACAAAAAATCAATTTTCTTTAATATTTAAAATATGAGTTATTTAACAAAATTTTTAAAATATATTATCAGTTTTTATGGGGTTAGGATGTCATAATACAGATTAATAGTGCGTTTTAAGATATATACCAGTTTGCTTAAATTTTTAATTAGTAAATTTTTAATTAAATCTTAACTAGATTATATAACAGTTGCCGGATGTACCGGTTCAACTATGGATCCGGATCGGATATGAAAATATTACGTGAAAATCAAACATTATAATAGAACATTTTAAATATTAATAAAACAAATTTTAAAATTTTGTGTTTGAATAAGTAATTTAAATAAATTTTATCAAAATGGTAAAAATATACCGGCGCTTTTAAAGCGCGGGTCAAAATCTAGTTTTAAATTATAAGAAAATCAGTTTAGAAAAAATCCAATAAAATCTTACTAAGAGTTTAATTATTTTTATATAAATAACACAATAATTAATTTCTTAATTAATAATTTAATAATAATATATATTAATAATAATTAAAATTTGTTATAAATAAATAAATATTATATCATATTTTATAAATTTCATGTTATAGTCTATATTATATTAAAATAGAAGTACTAAATGAATTAAATAAAAAATGAGAAAGTTGGTAAATTATATTTTTATTATAAATTTATTTCACTTGAATAAACAAACTATTATTCACTGTTAAAAGGATTAAAATACATAAACTATGCATATTTTCATACAAAAATGTTAACAAACGTTAAATGTTTATATCTACAACTATATCTTATTTTTTACTTATTTTAAAACTCAAAAAATATATTATCTAAAAATGAGTGTATACAAAATATATTAGTATATAACTAACTTTTAGTTCATGTATTATTTTAAAAATAGTATTTCAGAAAATTTTAATAATACAAAAGATATTCATGAAAAACCTTTTTAGCTACCCATTTTTTTTCTTAATTATAAAATAATATGTTGAGAAAATATATAGAAATATAACCAAAATTGTATAATATAATGCATTACTTAATTTAGTAACAAAAAAATTAAAGTCATATAATTTTTCAAAATCAAATATATTTAGTACTTTTTAAAATATTTCTTGACCAATTATACAATTTTGAAAATAAGTATTATAAACTCAAAGTAAAAAAAAAACCCAAATTATAAAAGATAAAATTATAGAAGATAAAGTGTATTTTTTATATGGAACACGAAAAACAAATACTACTCTAAAAAAGTAGTTTAACATTATGAATTATTAATTTAATAAAACAAATCAGAACTTAATACCATAACATCAAAAATATTTTTATATTGATAAATTTACTAAAGCAATATCATAGATACTACTATATATAAAATTTATCAGAATAATATGGCTAAATTAATTAAGCAAAATAATATAATATATATTTTTTGAATTTGAAATATACTAAAATGATATATTTTAAACTTCTATTTTAAACACAAATGGAAATATCAATTACCCTAAATAAATATTATTTTATAATAGCTAAATAAATTTTTTTTAAAAACCCTCACTTCTCCCTATTCGTACAAATCTTCTTGTGTCCTATAGTACTAAAATGACCCTACACAAAAATACCATAACAGACCGATCCCAAAGCGCACCTGCAGGCCTTCTAGATCACTATGGGTCGAGCCAAGCTCAAGCAAAGCGAGAAGAACGCAGGTTACTGCCGTGTCTTCGTCGGAAACCTAGAAGGAGCAGCGCTCGAATGGTTCTCTCGACTTGCCTCGGAATTCTTAAAGCAGTACTCGATGTTCGTAAACCAAGAAACTTCTGACGCCGACCTCTGGAGTCTATTCCAGAAGGAAGACGAACCTCTCCGCGACTTCATGAGTAAGTTCAAACTCATCATGGCTAGGGTTAGTATAATATCCAACCGTGTTATTAATTAAGAAAACAATAGAAACTCAAAGATTGTACCGTCCCAATATATAGCAGTCAACTTTAGGTCTATATTGCATTCATATGTCTTATTAGGTGTTAGAGTGTGCCATGGAGCGATTGGAGGTGTTTGAGAACATTGTGATCCAAAAGAGGGTGAAAGATGAACATGGATGGAGACCTTAAAGATATCTTTTGAAGCCCATCTTTGGGAAGACGAGGGAAATTGGGTTATCTTTCTAATCGAAGTGGTTTCAAGTCATTTGGAGTTGTATTGAAGAAGTTATGATCTATGTACTGTAGGCATATCAACCTTGTAGCGACCAGAGCCGTAGCGACCAGAGCATGTCGCTAGGAAGAAAGCCGAGAGTGTGTAGCGATCACTGTAGCGACCAGGACATGTCGCTACGAGAAAATCCCCTGAAAATTCTATGTGCTGTAGCGACCAGAGCATGTCGCTAGGAGCATGTCGCTACATACGAAAAAAACCCAACTTTTATGCTCGTTTTTAGGCTTCTATAAATAAATTGGAGACCTAAAACTTATCTTTTATTTTTTCTAAACATAAACCTCTTTGGGGAGAAAGATTGAATCTTTTAGTAACTTAATCTTTCTTTCTTGAATTATTTGAGTCCACTTCATCTTCTTAACATGATTAATCTTGAATCTATCATGGGTTTACGCTTAATCGTGAAGATTAGTGAGTAGATCCATCTTGGATTCATGTGCTAGGTTGATTAGGGTGATTAAGTGTAGATCTAAGATGTTAGGTGTTAGATCTACGTGTTCCTGCTAGTTGAGTGATCTTAAAGCTAGATTATTGTTGGCCTTTCTAATCTAGATAATTAGTCATTTCACGCCCACAAGATGTATTTTGAAATGCATGAACCAACTTTCCTTATCTTTAAGACTTCTTAGCCAATGACATTTGTATCTAGGAAGTCTTAGATAGTTATTAAACTTATTCTTAATGATTG